AACTTGAGTGACTCTAAAAGGCATTGTGCTGAAGGACCCAGTCAAAAGGGTATGTAATGTATGATTCCATTTTCACGAGTTCCATTTTGTGAGCTCCACTTCTGTGAGCAGACAACGTTGCACTGATAGAAAATAGATAACTATCAAAGGCACTCAACTTACATCTGCCTTATCTGAGGCAGCTGAGGTGTTGAATATACGATTGTAAAGATGAAAAGCCAAAAATATTAAAACCACAGGATAAATGCATATGGAGAAACTCACTATGTAGATGCAATGGTTCATATTTTCAAGGATTTCCAACAGAGGCAAAGACAGTGAACAATGTTGTATTTTCAAAACATACATTTTAGAAACACATCATATGTCAGTTTAGAAGGGTAACCAGGACACTGAGGTATTGTGAAACCAGGTCACACAAGGAAGTACAAATGAATCTAGAGAAAGAAAACAGAAGAACTTTTTCCAAATATTTAAAGTTGTTGGGAATAGGCTAAAATTGTCAAGTGAAATAAGAAACTTTAAAAAAAAATCTATAAATCCAAAGAAGTAGAGTGCAAAAAAAAAAAAAGAAAAGAAAAGAAAAGAAAAACGGTAGCATGCATCAAATTTTTGTTAAATAAACAAGCAGTTTAATGATTAGAATTGCCAACCAACAGGCTGGGCAGACTTGGAAGGGAGGTGGAGATACAGAGTGAACAGCAGTTTAGCATCTTTATCATTCCAGTTATTTTACACAGGCCCTGGAGGTTAGAACTGTCACCTCCATGTCGACAGTAAGGAAACTAAGACTGTGACTTAGTCAAGCGTCCCCAAGGGCCCACGTGTTAAAGTTTGGTCTCCAGATGTGCACTGCTGGAAGGCAGTCGAGGGGGTTCCTAATGGGAGATCCTGTGGTCACTGAAGGTATGTGCCGGAAGGGGAGAGTTGAGCCTCAGACCCTTCTTCTACTCTTCTATTTTTGGGTCATGGCCATGGAGTAGGGCGTTGTTCTGCCATTCATTCCCTGTCATAATGTGCTGTCTTGCCAAAAAAAAAAAAAAAGCCCATAAGGCACTTGATCATGAAGTTTCCAAAACTGTGAACTGTTTCTCATTGAACAGCTCAGATGTTTGTTACAGAAACCTGACTAATACAAAGAGCTATGGAACTTGTTCAGTAGTTCATAACTGCGAAGTGGCACAGCTGAAACTCAAGCTCAAGAATGATTAACCCTAATTCAATTCATCTCAATAAATATTATTTCTATTATGTCTACTTTTGGTCTGGTACATGCCCAATACAGGGAATATCAAGATAAACAAGAGAGTGAATCCAGTCTCTTCCTTGAAAGAAACTCAATTTATCTTTTCTATACTGCTAGAATAGTCATAGATACATGACTACTTGAAGTCTAACAAAAACCACTGAGATGCTCTCCCACCCTAAGATTTTATGAATATGGATTCTTTATGGTAGAAGAGACATATCCTTAGCATAGTAGTATTTCTGGAATAGATTTCTGGAAATTGAGTCACTGGTATAGTACGAAATTTGTGATACAAAAACAGAAACACTAGACTTTCACACATGATAAAAAATGTATTAACTAAGCAGCTTTTAAAATATAAAATCATCACACCCTACTAAAATGTATGCCACACGCTCAGCTAATCTTTTCTTTTTGTTTTTTATAGGGGCTCACAGCTGAAAGTCTGCCTTGAGTCTCAGAGAAGGCTTTGGACTTGGGACTTTCAGCAGTCTGGAACTGTTAAAATTTTGATAGCTCATAGACATGGAGCAAACACATTTTACATAAAGAGTGGACATGAGATGTTTGGGGGCTAAGGAGTGGAAAGCCATGGTTTAGACTTAGAATATTCCCCCAAGTTCTCCTGCGTTCAGAGGTGAGGGTTGTGGAAGGTGACTGGATCATGGAAGTGTGACTAAAAGAGCATACCTCCCTCCCTCATCATGGCATGAGTGGCTTTCCTCTGTGGCAGGCCCTTCCACTAAGCCGTTTTCCCATTTAAGGCACCAGCCATGGGCTGACACTTCTGAAACCCCGAGCCAAAATAAACCTTTCCTCCGTTAAATTGAGGGTGACAATATTTTGTCCCAGTGATGAGAAACTGATTAAGATTGGCTCCTTGAATTATTTTCTCTTTGCTTTTACTGCCTCACTTCACTTTTAAATTACCCCTCTTTGAGTGTGTGTGCATGCATGTGCATGTCCATATGTTTTGAGACAGGATATCCCTATGCAGTTCAGGCTGGCCTTGAATTTACTACGTAGCCCAGGCTGGTGTTGAACTCATGTTGATCATCCTATCTCAGCCCTCCTGAGGGCTGGGATTACAGGTATACACCACACCTCGCTTTGTTACTCCTCATTCTTAAACCACTTCTGCTGGTCATCATAAACCTACTCTTTAGAAACTGTATTCAAACAGGGCATATGAGGCCAAGATGTTCTGTTAATCACCACTGTCTCGATTCGCACAGAAAACATCTTTGTATTTCCAGCCCTTTCTTAAATCTTGGCTGCACTTTCCTCAGCAGCAACCACCAGAGATGAGATGTCCAGTTTTCAGGGGATCTAGCCAAATGACCATCAAGACAACTCACTGGTCACAGTTCTTCTCAATAATTGTCCAGGATATGTATGCATGCAGTTCTCAGTTGCTAGAATCATTCATGGCTCTCTCTGCCAGCTTGCAAAGAAACTTGGTCATGGTGGCTGAGGCTGCCCATTGTGGATACTCCAGATGGTAGGCAAGGGCACTGCATGATGTCTGACCTACTACAAGGGATGCTAGCCTCACAGGGAGGCCTGGAGTTGGAGGAGTGAAAGGCAACCCCTTAGAGCAGGAAGATCTAGTGACCCAAAGGGCCAGAAAACAATGAGAAAACCCAGATACAAAGATGCACCAAATAAAAAAACTGGAGAGTAGCTTTATTTTATACAACAATTTTGCATGGAAGAAAATAAGCATAAGATCCCAAAAACCATCTCATGCTTTTCTCTAAACCCTGCATTGACTCCCAAAGATCAGTTCTTTTGCATTCAGCAGTCATACTGCTGTATTCGGACAAGCCCAAAGATAATGAAATGAGGACAGCAGACACTGTACTGTCAAAGTTCATTAAGTGATTAATGTTCATTAATGTAATGAAGTACATTACATTTCAATAAATTTTGGACAATTCTTGTAATAATGGAAATCTATTTGTCATATGTCACTAATTTCAAGGGAAAGGAAACACTCATTATTTAGAAGGGACTGCTTATCTTATATTTTGGAATATTAAATCATTTATTCATCCTACATTTCTCTTACTAAATATTCAATTAATGAGCCCAACTGATTACAGCCTTGGCAGCTGTCAATCACTTCTTTACAGCTTTCATAAGTGCATATTATACACATGTATTAAAAAGCACACTGAACCCTATTAATATGCACAATGAATACAAGTTAGTAGCAAATAAATACATTATAAAAGTGGAGGAAACATTTTAATATGAAGTTACCATACAGTTCTAAAAGACAGACACAGGGACTTTGGTTATCTATCTTTCAACACCATTCCTCCACTAAAAAACAATTTCACTTGTCTGAAGCAGCACAATATCCTGCTTTGGAAAAGCTGATGAGAAGTGGTTTGGTATGGAGAATCCGTGACTCTTATGATCTGGATCAAAAATGTCTCCTCAAAGGCTCATCTATTCAGAAGTGAGGCTTTTGGAAGGTGACTGGACATGTGATGCTAATCCCATCAACAGAGCAATCCACTGACGAATCCATAGCTGAACATACTATCTGGAGGTAGGGCCTGATGGAAGATTTCAGGTCAATGGGGTATAACCTGGAAGAGTATATCCTGTCAGCAGCGCCTTCCATCTCTGCTTTTTGGCTGCCAAGAGTTGAGCAACTCTGCTCCACTATGCTCTTCCACAATGACATTTTAGCATTGGAGCCAGCTGACTACGACTAGAACCTCTGAAACCATGGGCCAAAGTGAACCTCTTCCTTTACGTTGTGGTGCCAGGTATTTCACCCCAGCAACAGAAAAGCTGGCTGACATACAGACCTAATTTATAACAACCATCATTTGCTGCCTTCTTTTAATTAAAAAACATTTTATGATTTGTGTTTATGGTCTTATGATTTTCTCGTTGCTGAGACAAAAATCTAACACTCAAAGTTAAAAGAGGAAAGGTTTATTTAGCTCCAGTCTGTGGAGGTTGCAGTCCAGAATCAGCTGGTTCTAAGGCAGGATGGTACATGCAGAGGGGCAATAGTTTATGGCAGAGTAAAACAGCAAAAGCAACAGGAGAGGAGAAAAAGGGAGACAAAACTCTTTTTGTCCCTTTTATCCAGACTTCTGGGATTACGGTGATAGCAATCCAATCAGTGGACTAATCCAGCAATTACCCTGAATTCCTGGACCCTTAATCCCAGCATTGAACCATGAATCAATCACACTAGATTCAGCCACCTCCAAAAAAAACCTCTAAGACCACATGAGGCTTTGGAGGGACATCTAGAGACAAATCATAACAGTGCTCTCTATATCAACCAGATTCTAAGGCCCCTCAGACATTCCCCTGGTATCTCACTCCCCAATGAGGAGCAATCTGAGCTGATGCTACTGCCATTTTTAATTGGTGCTGCTACAATCCATTATAACCTACTGATATTCTCCAGCTCACATTCAAACAGATAATGGGTAGAAGAAGTCTAAAGGCATGATGTTTTTTAAACACTTTGCAAAACTAGCAAGGTCAATCTCAAAATACTCAACCCAGGAAAACTTAAAATTCTCAAAAGGTAACCAAAGACAGAAAAGCTTATCTCAAAGCAAGACGCCGTTTTGCTAAAAAAACAAAAGCTCCTGCATATTATACGCTTTTTGCTTAAGGCAGCTCTTCTGATTACACAAAGTCTTATTCTTCTCTCCTATAGAGAAGTTTCTCTATCCACCCAATCTGCCAGAAAAACAGTTTACTAGTTTACCTCCTTCAAGTCCTGAACGACGGCTGTTAGTCTCTCATTTTCCGCCTGGACATTAGTGACCACAGCCCGGCTCTGCTTCAGTTCGTTCTGCATTTCCAAGATCTTGCCCAGGTAGTAAGCTTCCTTTGAGGCCGATTCCTGCAGAAGCGTTTCTTCCCGAGTCTCTCCATCCTCGGCAACCTTACGGTGGATGGAGAAGGACTGCCCAAATGCCTGCATTTGGGAAAGAGAAAAAGTGTTCAATGAAATGCACCCCAGCACTTTAAGCAGACTGGGGAAAATATTTCGTTTGGTCTTGTTTGTTAAGAAAAGTTACTCTGAAAGGACTCCATAGGTAGTGAGGGTGGAGTGGGCAGGGAAGAAGGGTAAGGAATGTATATATGCACCTGTGTGTGAATAACACTGGTGCACGAGATAATTCAAATCCATTTTTGTGCATCATGTATTGAGGATTGAACCCAGGGCCTTGTGCATGCTAATCATATGCGTTACCACTGAGTACCCCAGCCCCCTCAGATTGAACTGTTAAGTACAGAGTTTTTAAATATCTTGCATGTATGAGAACTTGAAAAATATCACCCATTTCTCTGTTAACATTGCTAAGAAATAGATAGCAGAGTGCTAATGAGACCATCAAAATTGAAATTCTTATCTTTGGTTTAGGAAAACAAACATTTCCCAAGAAAGAAAATAATAGTTTCACTAGCTTTCCAGTACATTACCACTAAACCTATGTTGTATCTTTATGAGATAAAACAGTATTTAAATTGCCCAATTTCATGAAAGTTATTCAAATGCCATCTTTATTCAAGAAAATATGTATCTGTTGTTCATTTGTGCAAAAAGAAATACAGGAGAATTAACAAAGGTTACCTACAAGGGGATGTGATGAATTGGGTAGAAAGAATGGAAGAATGCAATGTGATACATGCTTCATATTCTGACTCTTACACACACTACCCAAATAAATAATAATGAAATTCAGTATCTATATGGGGAGCACAACAAACAATAACAAATTAACCCGGCTGTATTCCAAATGAACAACAGCTGAACAGAAATGGATGGGGAAGAGAAGACCCAACAAGCAATTCTGAAAAAGAGTATTTTACCATATATTGTAAGGCTAACGACAAAAAGAGACAAAATGTAAAAACTGTAATTGGTAAATTTGTTTCACACAGAGATTGTCTTCTTAAACCTCCTTACACACGTACTAGGATTCAGAATGGAAGTAAAAATACTGTGAATAAAAGTCAAGAATGAAAGTATTTTTTCAGGTTTCTCCCTGTTGGAGAAAGAAGTCACAACTAAGCAAAGAAAACAATCTAGAAGGAACTATTAACACTGCATAGTAAGCAGAAGCATTAGGATAAGCCTGCTACTTTACGAGGTAAGTATTCATAGATAAAGATAAGGGGTGGGTGTGTTCATATATCAATATATGACATACCAGTAGCAACAAGCACGCTCAGCACTTGAATTTTGATTCTAAATACAAACCCCAAATAAAAATAGCTAGGGTTTTTTGTAGAAATGACTGTGTATAGGGTTGGCACAAAATAAGCTTGGCATGTCTGTGCTGTCCAAGAATAATAAAATGCCTTTAAAAAAATCATGGCCATTTATCAAAAGGAAACAGGAGACTATGTAAAGGTGTATCCAACACCCAAAACTGAGATAATCTGAATAACACGATGAACAATTATAGAGCTGTGTTATAATCTATAGAATCAAATATTTGTAAGTACACATTAATATAATAAAGTTGGGAATAAATGGGGAAATACAACTCTTCCTTGCAGTAGAATTTTAGTGATATGGAAATAATTTTTTAGCTAAAAATAAAAATTTATTAATCTAAAATTACAAAGTCTTAGTTAAGCTAAGCAAAAGTTTTACTTACCCTTAATGCTCTTTTTAACTCCTGCCTCAGTACCATAATTTACAACTGTAACATTGTTTTTCACTACAGAACTTTCCAAACCTGGTCTTTTCTTTGAATTCTGGCTTTTTATGTTTCTCTCTGGGGCTGTGATCAATCTTCCTTCCCTAAGGCGTTAAGTGTCTTATTTTGAACAGTCTGATAGGTAATGACTTTCTTTGTATTTTGATCTTCAAAAGCCTATTCTTTTTTTCTTTTTAATTCTTGCATGTCCTCCATTTCTTTACAGTATTTCAGTGCAACTTCTTCATCAAAATCTGAATCATCAAAGAATAATAAAATGCCTTTCGAGTACAAGCAGAAGTCTCTGCAACATCTTTGGATTGGCCTTGGCAAATTTTGCTTTTGGTTTAGATTTTTCTTTACAGTACCACCCTTAAGGGTAAGCATATGTTAGACCCTTGGTTCTGATCTACAACTCACAACTTGTTGAGCAGGCAGAAAGTCTATGCGCAGAGATTCTCCTAGCTTTTAGGCTTACAGAAAAATGGATGGTACAACAATAGTTCAAGTAGAGGCTTCGTTGGTGCTTTGGGTTCCTTTTCCAGGTGGAATGATCCCTTGGCCCCACCAACTGTAGTGACGGCTCCAGCTCATTCTTCATTTCTATTAACTTGACTTTCAAGTTTTCTATTAGCTCCAAGAGCTCTGGGGATTCCCTTCACAAAATCTTCAACTTCTTTTTCCCTGAAACTTACGCCAAATCCTTCATGACCACATCTCAGCCACCTCTATTTGATGTACTGGTTTTGCAAAAGCCTCTACCAAGGCAAAAGCCATCATCTGCTGGGCTTGGGCCAGGCACTGCTGAATTACCTGTGCCTCTACTTTTGGCTGACCCTAACAGGATGTGGAGCCACAGTCCATGTCACAGAAAAGTATTTTTTCCTTTGACTCCACAACCAACTGGGATCCATAGAGGCCTCAGCCTCATTTCAAATGTAGCCGCCACCACCACCACCACCACCACGATCACTATTCCTTTTGTTCCCTGAACCCTCCATCCTCACTGTCTTCATCATCTATACCTATGGCTAGCAATACCTACTTACCGCCTCCTTCTTGCCCTTACTCTCTACTTCATTCCTACTCTTTGCCAAAGCTGCCAGGGACAGTGGCTCAGAGGAAGTCATCTGCCTCATCTTGGTGGCAGCTCAGGTCCCTGGTGGGATGGCACTCCCAGAACATCTCCACTTTTGTCTGAGGTGGTGTGACCTATTCTGGCTTTCACTGCTGACCACTTAGTCATTCCGGTGGCCAGAATCTCCTCCACATGGCTCATACAGGGCCACCTACTGCAATCTAGCAATTTTTAAAAGGACAATCTAGTGAACACCTAAAACTCATAGAAGTAAAACAATTCAAAACACCAAAATCCACATCTCACTGAACTGTTTCAACGAAAACCAAAATTTAAAAAAAAAGTCTTAAGCATCCACTGGGAAAGGAATATCACAATAGAGATACAAAGCATCCAGGGGCGTGGCTCATTTAATCCTGAGACAGAAATTGAGCAGTTAGATTTCCCTAGGTGAGACTCATGAAAAGATGAAAAGCTGTGTTTCAAGGTGATATGTATTTATCTCTTCTATCCATAATGATCAACCTCTGTGAGGTCCGTTCCGAGTTAATGACCCATTTAAAAGGTTCTGGGGAGTCCCCACAGTGAGCTGGTGAGTCTTTAACAGTCTTTGGCCCCTCAGAGTGTCCCTGACTGGATAGTCACACATCAATCAGTAAAACGTAAAATCAGCACAACCGGTGTGCCCGGAACCTCAGCTAGTGTTCTTCCACAGCTGCTTTCCCATGGCTGTGCACACAGAGCTGGCCCTCCCGCTTGGCTCTGCCTGAGTGAAACCAAAACCCAGGGGCATCCTGGGCTCTTGTACTCTTCGCTGGATCACAGAGTATTCATGGGGAACAACTTTGCCTTTCTACTTTAATGTAAAGTCTTCAAAAACTGTACTCTGGATCCAGTACCAAAGGAGATTTTTAAAAAATGTATACAATCAATTTTCAAAACAAGCATTTACAAATTGAAACTGCAAATATAAAACTTTTGATAAATACTTCATTTGTATTTATCTCAGCTCAGAAACTAACATAGGGGATTCCAAAAACTGTCATTATTTTTATGACAAACTTGGCCCTTCACTGGACCTGATTTGAAAACAATGGAAGTACAGAAAGTTATCCAAGGACATTAAGTATGTTTTTAGTTGAAATAGAAAACAATCTTGCCCAGGCTAGAGGTACCCTACAATCCAAATGTGCAAATGAAAACTAACACTATTTGAAAATACTTCTCTCTCTCTCTCTCTCTCTCTCTCTCTCTCTCTATCTCTATCTCTATCTCTCACACACAAGGTCTCAATGTATAGTACAGGTTTGTCTTAAACCGATATTTTCCTGCTTCAGCCTCACAAGTACTGGGATGATAGTGCAAGTCATCACACCCAGAGCTAAGAAGTAGCTGCTCTTAAGATAGGGAGGACAAAGGAGCAAACACTCCTATTTTATCTAACTCCTAGTTGTCAGAATACTGGACAAGACAGCTGACTGCTATCTGTCACCTGGCTATGTGTGTAAGCTGATTTAGCAGATTTGTCTGCTGCTACCAGGTACACACCTCCTTCCTCTATCACCAAAGTGTCCCTTGTCAAGAAGAGAAATAACCTTCTTCAAGGCTGCTGAAGCAGAGCTCGTTTGAATCATGAAATTAGTGGCAACATCTATTTACAGGCAAACACAGGGTAATCCGGCTTCCACTTCGATTTTGTTCAAACAGGAAATTCTACCTCAATACTACAATATTTCCTGGGTGAATTTTATTTGAAACCAACTGAAGCAAACTGACATCTCTATACAATTTTAGAATTTACTATGATTTTTTATCACATGTAGAGTTGTAATTACACAGTATTACTTTTAATATATTCCATTGCAATGGGTCAGAGTAACTTCACTTAATAATAGAAGTCCACCTAGGTATATAAGTACCTTTTTCTCCTTCTACTTATATGAATTATTATTATTATTATTATTATTTTGTCCCCCTCCCCCCTTTTTTTGGTACCAGGGATTGAACTCACGACCTTGCACTTATCAGGCAAGCACTCTGAGTCACTGAGCTAAATCTGGACCCTGCTTTTTAAAAAAAAAAAAAAACAGGGTCTCACTATGTATTTCAGATTGGCCTGAACTCACTGCATAGACCAGGCAGGCCTCAAATTCATGGCGATCCTCCTGTCTCATCCTCCTGAGTGCT